TCTGTAAAAGCATCAAGAGACTATACCACACTAACTAACCAGAGATCCTTTGATGTGGGGAGTGGTACCAGTGGTGTTGCTGTTCATACTAATGGTGAAGTATTTGCTAGTAGTAATGATGGGTTTGTTCAAGTATTTAGTGAGGATGGTACTGCAGTAAGAAGGATTGGATCTAAAGGTAATGGTAATGGACAGTTTGACAGGCCTTGGGGTTTATTGTTGGTAGGAGACAGGCTCTATGTGTCTGATAATAATCTTCATCGTGTGCAGTATTTCTCAGCTACTACTGGTCAGTATATTGGTCAGTTTGGTAGTAATGGTAATGGAAATGGACAATTCTCTAGTCCTCGTGGTATGTCTACTGATGGTAAAGGTAATATATTAGTAGCTGATATCAGCAACAAAAGAGTACAAGTGTTTAAAGAAGATGGTACATTTGTACAAGTCACAGAATGTGATGGTATCATCTGATGTAGCAGTTGATAATGAAGGAAAGATACACGTTACCATTAGTGATCAACATCATGTTCAAGTCTTCTCTCCTGATGGTAAAACTCATCTTGATACATACAATAATCCAGCTGGTAACTTTAATAATCCTGATGGTATTGCTATTGATGATGAAGGATATATCTTTGTATCAGTTTATAATGGTGGTACTCCTTTTCTTCATGTATTGAGTCCTGACAGGAAAGAAGTCAAATTAATCTCAGTATCTTACCCGTTTGGTATAGCACTGGATAAGGATGGATATATTTATGTTGATGATTATAGCAACAAACGTATAATAAAATATTAAAATAGTCATTCAATAAAACTGGAATAAACTCTCTTTCACACACACACTCTCCCTTCTCCTCTATCTCTTTTTCTAACTTTAAGTCACATTAGTCACTGCTAATTGTTATTGTTTGAATTTAAACTAGTTGTTTCTAAATAATCACATAAAATATGCAATTAACTGCTAATGGCTGATGTCTTGACACAATATTAATGTATGATATGCAGTGTATTGTACAATAAATGCAAATTGTCTCACTTTTAAAGTCCAAAAATATGTTGAATAGATAGTCTTCATTTTTTCATTTAGGGAATGTTGTGAAGAATAGTAATTGGTGCTGTATGCAACGAAATATTTGATTTATCATTGGTAGTAATGTACTTCTGCCTAACAAAAAACCCTGCTTGTTTTAGTCTTCTGTTGCTTGCATTTGTAATGTGCATCTATATTCTGTAGTGTTACATTTTAGTGTTGTTTGACTTGTAGCACATCTTTTGGGAAGTCTTATTTTTTAA